GGCCTTTCTGGATGGAGTTTGCATGTTCTCTTCGTGCATGCGTGGGTTTTCTCCAAGTACTCCAGTTTCCTCCCACAACCAAAAACATGCATGTTAGACTGATTGGTAACTCTAAATTGTCCCTAGGTGTGAGACAGAGTGTGAATGGTTGTTTGTCTCCACGTGTCCCTGTGATGGACTGGACACATGTCCAGGGTGTTCTCCTCTCGCACAGTGATGGCAGGACATGGGCACCAGTGACCACCACGACCCAAAAAGGAGAAGTAGGTAAAGATAATGGCTGGATGTGCAGCCATCTTGAATTGAAGAAGTAACCCACTGGTTATTAAAGGTTTCAAAAATTATAATTTTTTCAGTGGTTTTCAGATATTTTGCTAACAGACAAACCGGGTTGACTCCAATATGTCTAGCTAAAGTTGTATGCAAAGATTTTGAGCAAAGAATAGCACATGAACTGAAGATTTGTTGTAAAACACTCTAAGCTACGAACAAACCTAATTTTAGTTCAATATCTGCATTAGAAGCACGGTGGCGCAACTGGTAGAGCTGCTGCCTCTCAGCGAGCAGGTCCTTGGTTCAAACCCCGGTCCAGGGGCCTTTCTGGGTGGAGTTTGCATGTTCTCTCCGTGCATGCGTGGGTTTTCTCCGGGTACTCCGGTTTCCTCCCACAGACCAAAAACATGCATGTTAGGCTGATTGGTAACTCTAAATTGTCCCTAGGTGTGAGTGAGAGAGTGAATGGTTGTTTGTCTCGTTTGTCTCTATGTGGCCCTGCGATGGACTTGCGACCCATCCAGGGTGTACCCCGCCCCTCGCACAGTGATTGCTGGACATGGGCACCAGCGACGCCCGTGACCCAAAATGGAACAAACGGGTAAAGATAATGGATGGATGGATGGATCTGCATTAGAACCAGTTCTGTTTAGTAAGATCACTTTGTTGTGGCAGCCATTGTGTCGACTCCAAAAATTAATGTGTTGTTCACGTAGATCAAATAATGCCTTTCTGCAGCCAAAGAGGGGAAACCTCTACCGAAGACAGAACAGAAGTTTGAAAATGATGCCAGGACTAGTTATGAAGTCACAGACAAAGGTGTGGTCCAGGATCTCTGGAATGTTCTGCGAGCGCTGAAGAAGGAACAGTAAGAAGGAACATTTCTGTTTTCCTGCAAGACATTTAAAGGCACAGTCAGCACATTCTTATCTAGTCCGTACTTCTGGTCTATGATCAGAAAACAAAATTATATATTTTTTAAAAAATCACCCTGAAATTATTCTTTGTGCCGTTACACTAACATCACGTGAACCAGGCTGTGTATTCTGTGCAGAGTTGATTTTAATCTGCTCCTCCTTTAAGTAATTTACCCGTTATTACCTGAAATGCATTTTATTATGGGGGGAATATGTCGTAAATGTCGTGTAAACAGGTCTCTCTTGTAAATGAGTCCTTGAGACTCACTGAGACTAACCTGTAGAAATAATGAATGAAAATATGTCCAGTAGTTTCTGAAATAATTTGGTAACGGACAGAAACATGCACACACAGACAGAGAAATATGTAAAACAAAAAAGCATTATTTGTCTTTAAAAGAAAATCAGAAAACTTCCCATTCTCTTTAGATCGTTTCATTTATAGATGATGCACCTAAATCCCGTCGTTACACAACGTTCTGTGAGACACCGCCCGTGCTTGAACGTGGCCGTGGTGACTTTGGTTCCGCCCGACTCAAACGAGCTGCTGACTCTCGTGTTGCAGAGGTGAGAGATGAGCTGCAGGCTGAAGCCCACGAGGTGTTAACTGAGACTGGTGTGTGCAGAGGCCTTAACAGGAGCCAAGACAAACAGCAGCACTGACATTTACCCTGCGCAAAGTCATTTAGTGAGACACACACACACAAAGGAAAGGGCGAGGCCTTGTGCGACTTATGAATATTTGTGGATAAGATCTTTCAGTGTGTGATGTCTAATGTGATTATGTATGCACAACTTTTTCACTGCAGCCCACAGAACAGTGGAGGAGCAGTTTTATATTCCGTTTGTTCAGTCAACGTGACATTTTAGAAACCTCCATTGTTCCTGCGTGCCAAACTGATTTGGTGAGATGGAGTATTCTAGTAGCCCCGAGGCTGCTTGGTCAGTTTGTATTATCCTGTCGGCTGCTATCGCACACCCGACGAGTGGAGATAAATATTACAACAACGAACAGCTTTTTCAGGTGTACAAAGGTTGGAACATTTATTAAACTTCAGGAACAATTAAAACAAAGGTGAATTGAGGTCAGTATCAGAAATGCCAATCAAAGCTTCAGTGACAATTTTATGTGCAGATTCCTTGAGGCTTTTCTGCGAGTGTCAGTCGTGTTACGTTTATGCCACGATTTGTAGTACGTGTGTTGAATAAAAACAGTTGAGCCAGAAAAGAAAAGTTAAAACTTGACCAAGCCTTACCCTGCAGACGGACATCTGGTTGGTGGTGAGAGTTCCGGTTTTGTCAGAGCAGATAACCGACGTGCAGCCCAGAGTTTCCACTGATGGTAGGCTGCGGACGATGGCGTTCTTTTTGGCCATGCGCCGCGTGCCGAGGGCGAGGCAGGTGGTGATGACGGCAGGCAGACCCTCAGGGATGGCAGCCACAGCCAGGGCGACCGCAATCTTAAAATAATAGATGGCCCCTCGGACCCAGGACCCGCCGTGGACCGGATCTCCAAAGTGTCCGATGTTGATGACCCACACGGCTATGCAGATCAAGGAGATGACCTTTGATAGCTGCTGGCCAAACTC